TGTAAGAATGAACGCAACTTTTTTAACGGAAATAAAATTTAATGATACTGAGTCGGAGACGCAATTTCAGATATATTTTAACTATAAAATATCTATACCATTGTCCAGAAGTAGCCGTCAGATTAAGCATAATATCAAGCCACTCTGGACTAAGTTATCTGTTAGTGTTCCAAACAGATACTAGAAATGAGTTTTTTTTTAATTGAGCAGGTTGAGATGTCTACCGATTCCTTTATTTCGTCCTCAAGTACTAGTATTAACATAATTTCAAATATAAATCATGAAAATTCCTTAGCTACAATTTAAAAGCAAACTGTTATCGTTTTTATCACAGAGTAACAATTACAAGCATAAAACATTTCTGCATCCTGTTGCCAAAATCTCGTCTTTCGACAATTTCCTTGAGACTACTTTCGTTATCTAAGCCTAACAATGAGCATGTATATATATTTATGTATGCACAGATAACATTTTCATAAATTGTGTTCAGAACAAATATAATACGCAGAAAAAGACTGTTTAAAACATGTTTGCACTACATAGATATTATTCGCATTTGCAGACATTAATAAAGTATTTATATTTCGTACATTGAATACAGTTTAATGTGATTAATTTCTAATGAGCAATATGCATGACTTGTTGAAAAACTTGATTCTAGGCGATTTGTTTAAGTTCAGATGGGAATAATTCCAAGAACTACAAGAACATACATGGAGAACAAGTTTCACTTTAAAGTTTGATCACCGTCAACGTTTTCAAAAGCACCATATAATTAAAATTAAATGAATAAAGATAAGATAGTATTATGCACAAAATCTGGGCATACAAACATTATACATACCATCCAAGTTGGTATTCAGGAACACAACAGTAATTTCTGTTGTTGTTTTTTTTTGTATTCCTACCTGAATCTACACTGTGAACATTAAATTTGTAAAAATCGGGTTTTATCTTTTCATGCATCCTAATGACTAATGTAATTTAGTTATTTTTCTTTAACAATTTAGCTTCCGTAATGTATTGGTAAAAAATATAAAACTTTATCATCTCATTTGTACTGGATATATCACAGAGTGGATCGAAATATTTCATGACATGTTTTTACAAAGCAGTAATATTTCACCTTTTGCAGTCAATCCTTAACCGTTGAAATAGGACACGCTGTTCTACATAAGTGTGTACTTGTTCTGGAAATAAGTAAAAACTGAGGCCTAGTAGGATTTTAGCCTGTATTATTATTATTTTTTTTTATAATTAGTCTTGTGTTCGAATACCGCACTGTCTTAGCTTCATTTTGCATAGAAAAAAAAGATAATCGTGTAGATATAGGTTTAAACTGATAATCTGCATAACACAGGTAAAAACTGTTTAAAATGTTTATAGCCATTAGAAGCTGAATATTTTATACAATGCTTTACTTTTGGTAATCTATATATATATATATATAAAAGCCAAGTGTCGGTTGGTCGGTCACTCTCGAATTTCGTGAGTTACACGAGTCAAATTTCATTCTTTCTTCTATAATACTTTAGCTTTTGATTGCCAGTTTCCATTTTAGTTGAATTTAATCGCTAACATAGGCGTAAATAGCTCCTAAATTTCGGCACTTTTTCTGCTATATAAAAGCCTGTCAAGGAGGGAGTTCCCAGGACCAGATCAAGCATGGCGTTATTTTTGTAACACCACATCATTATGACTTCAAGCTAGGTAGAATCCGAATAGGAAAGCTGGGAAGGCTCTCGTGATCGAAGACACGGAAGTGTATTCGCACCCTATCAACGCCTGTGAAAAATAAGCAAAAAATGAACGCAAATCTATGCTTGGGAATTATTATGAAAAAAAAGCCTTTGTTAAAACAGACTAATTATATATAGGGAAGAGGACGACTTTTCCTCAGAAATTTGTTTGTTTGTAGTTAAGCAGAAAACTACACAATGGGCTATCTATGCTCTGCCCACCAAGGGTATCGAAACCCGGTTTCCAATGGAGGGCTTTCCTCAGAAGAAGAACAGGTATATACATAAGCAATCACATGGTCATCGTATGTTTTAATCTTTGATCCAAAGGCACCAATATGTGACATGTTTGCTCAGTTATATGTAGTGGATTCAGGAGTAATATGCGACATGTTCCTGGGAAAGGAAAATTTATATTTATTTTGTGTATTGCCTATTTTATACGGAATAGTTTTGTTTTCCAGTGGTTTCCCGTCATTTCTGACGGGCTCTTACGCTAGTAATATAATAATGTTTGCATTATTTACAACTCAATTTACATCCTCAGCCAACCATTTCTTTTAGGAAACTATCGATTACCCTCTTAAACTCCAGTGAAGTACTGGCATCCTTATTTCATAAACAAATCACCCTGTTAGAAAAATACATCTGTCTTATCTGGATCCTAACCTGTCTTTTTCAAGTCTTAAACCTGTGTCCCTCTCGTCCTATCATCTTAAGAATACAGT